TTATGTTTAATTATTTTTATAGATACAAATATTTAAGTAAATGCTCTGTTTTATAATAAACAATATTAATAACATTTACCAGCCTGAATATCCAAGAAATTTGATTGAAGTTTAAAAGCAGTAAAATCAACCTTGCTAATCGAACGATTCTCTGTGGGTTGATTGGTTAATGCATGTCAGGCTAAATGATGGTTCCGTATAGGATACAGGTTCAATTCCTGCCAGAGGATGAATATTTTCTATGAATAGCATGTATATATTGACTTTCTTAAAAGTAAAGCACATTTCTTAAGACAATATGATTATGCAAAAATCATATAAAAGATTTAAAAATTAAAGGAAAATGACCTTAAAAAAACACCAACATCATTTTACTTTTGTTTAACAACATGTCAAAAATTTACATCACTTAGCCTCCTCCATATTTTCCTTTCACTTTTTTAATTTTGAGAGATTTTGAATATTTTAAAAAGTTCAAATTTGAATGCATAATGGTATTTTTTTTCAGTGATTTTTTTGTGATCTGACTACGGGGAAAACTGATGGACATCTCATGTACTACCTATTGAGGTTGGGTGCCATGGATTCCTTGGATGGTCAATCATTTCCTTCCTTTCGAATGTGGGCATTACTGGCCAGAGCCTGAAGCATGATTCACATAGGCTCCAGACCACAGCTCAACAGGCATCAAGTTGGATCTGGTCAAGATTTCAAATAAACAAAGTTAATTAAAACCATGCTCGCAACACAACACAAAAACTACTTCCAACATTAAACACATTTGCTTACCTTCTATTCTGCATCATTGATAACACTTGCGATATGCATGTTGTGTATTGGTTAATGATAAAAGCAAACTCCTTTAACACAACATTGAAAATCTGACTTGCAGTTAAAAAAAAATTCGAAGACACTGACATGTCTACACAAAAAACAATAGCTTGTCTGGTGGCAAAAGCTGCTGGTGGCAAAACTGTGTTACCTCCCCTGGTTGGTGGCTGATGAGGGCAAGGTATCATACGTGCTTTCACACGTTATAGATAGAAAAAAAATTTTCTCAATAAAGTTTTTGCATTTGCCTTGATAAAGTTCCTAAAAGAAGAAATGCATCATCATAAATGTTTTTTTTCTTGTTGTTTCTTTTAATAATACCATGTAAGTTTCCTGTTTCAAAGTTATCCTTCTTGGATGGACAGAGTTCTTTTCAGCACCCCCTTGCCTGTCTGTATATCAGGGTGAATTGTTTAAGCTGTAGAAAGTTGAGAGGGTGAAAGTTTGGCCTTGTGAAAATATTCAATTCATCCAGAAAGAAAATTTAAAAGAAAAGAGAAAATCAGATAAAGTATAAATCCAAAATTTTTATATTCTTTCTCTTATTTATTCATTTAATTCTTTTTGTTAGTCCTGTTTCTTCTTATGTCAATAATTTTTTTATGACAGCGAATAAACAAGACACAGGAAAATTTCTTACTGACTTCATCTCGGACTGTTACATCTGGTTGTTACACAGACTCTTATGAGGACTTTTTGATTACTACTTGGACTGAATCCTTTTATTTATACTTTTTTTTATTTATAACACAAACATTTTAGTAGACACAAAATGCACATTAATATCTAACATAAAATGCTAGGCCCAAATCTAATGTGTATTATTTAACAACTGTATATGCTTAAAAGATGAAATATTGCAGATTAATAACTTGATATTTGTTTTAAATGCTGTGTCAGTTTTATCTTTCTCTATAAATTATAAATTAATTATTTTTATTTTATTGGGCATCTACTCAATAAGGATATATTTTATTAAGTATTTTTAATAAAAAGACATTTTTATTTTATCTTAAAATGACTAATAGAATATGTTCTAATAATGTGTCCGCCATAATTTGAAACTCTTTAATTTGTTTATTTTGGCAAAATGGACAAATCAAACATGTTCACTATGCCATCTCTTGTGGTCCTACGTAGGAATGAACTCACCATCCTTGGCTAACAAATTTCTGAAGATATTATACTCCTCCTTCTTAGCTTAGTGAATGTGTTCCAAGCAGTGGCAGTAGCAGGCTTGTTTCCCTTCCTGCTAAAATGGATTTAACCTTTAGGCATTATTTAAGTTTATTGAAATTTCTCCTTAGCGAACATTTTTCTGATGAAGTGATGTCACTCAGTTTATTGAGCAAGATCCTGTTTTAACAAAACAGATTTTTTTAAGTTTTTCTTCATAAACTCTAAAATTCTAACTTTACACTTTAAATATGCATTCAACTCAGTTAATTTAACTGTATAATTCAACAATATATAAAGTTCAAAGAGGAACAGCAAAGAAGATGGAATTGATGAGCAGAGTTCAAATTTTGACAGAAACTGTTACATTCATTTTTACACTAAAAGGCATGAATTCATCTCTTCTTCCATCTTTAGTCTAAATAGGAGTTGTTGTCACTCAAGGCTTGAAAGCCCTGGGGGTCAGCCACTCCAGGAGACAACTCTGAATTCAAATGTTGTGCCTTTTCAGGTTAACATTCTCCGCTGACATGAAGTGGAAAATTGAATCAATTTGCTGCTAAGAAAGTTGATTCACAACTAGACAATTCTTCTCTCCAAAAACTATCTTATATATTTATAAGTCTAACATTCATCCATGCTTCAAATATTGCTGCCACATATGGTCTGGTTCTTCTGCTATATATTTAGAGATTCTTGATAAAATCCTAAGAAGAATCTGACCTGACATCCCAGTTTCCGTCACTTTCCCACTGCCATAATGTTGCTTCCCTTTGCTTTTATTGTCTTGCTTGGAGTGATTAAAAAAAAACAGAAAGCAATTCCACTAAAATGCCCTGAAGGAATATAATATTCAAAATATTCACACTATGTAGATACCTCCATGAAAATGCTAAAAAATCTGCATACCGTGATGGAAACATGCTCCAAACCTAATGAAAATATAGTTTTATCATCAAAATTGTTATTATTAATGGGAAGCTTCGAAGTATCTTTTTAGTATTTAATTAAATTTTTTTTAGAACATTCAAAATTTTGTTTTTCTTGCATCAGCAGTTGTACTAACTTTTAGCATAGAAATATTTGGCCTCCTTTTTTGCAGTGACAGACACATTAATTTGGAATTTCTTGCAAAAATCAAATAATGGTTAAATTTTAATTAAATTTTTAGGAATTATTCACAAATAAATGAAATTATTTTTGAAATATTTTTCATTACAAAATCTTGGTAAAAATATATTTTTTACATGTGTTTCAGCCACTTACTTAATTTTATGAAAACTTGAGAAATTCATCAAAATAATTTTTAGTAACTATATTAGTTAAAAGCAGAATTACTTGAAGAATTTAAATCACCAAACTTTTTTTTTTGCACAATCGAACCAAGTTTTACTGAAAATCTGTTCTAAATTGAAAAATAAAAAACACAATAAAACTAAGACTTTATTTAATTAGAGAAGCTTTTAACTGCTTTTATCAATAATATATATTAAGACAATACTGTTTGAAGAAAAAAAAATTTCAGTGAAAAATGAAACAATGAATTTTTAGAAAATTTGTTTTCATTTTTTACAATTTGAAATTGAATAATTTATAAAGTTTTTAAATCTTTTAAAATTAATTTTCATTGTGATAATTCTTAGGAAATATTGTTATTAAGTAAAACTATGTTTACTAATAATATATTGTAAATCTTATTACAATTTGATGACCCCAAATATTTTTAAAAGAATTTTAATTTGTTTTTGTATGTGTGATTACAAGCAGAATTTCTGAAGTATGGATGAACAAACTGATCAATCTAGCATTTAAAGGTCACATGTTTTAAGGATTGTCTCCCCACTTATGCAAAAAAAAAACTTTATTGTCTGCTTCAAGACTTAACTAAGTACATATTTGGCTGTCAATCTCATGTAAATAGATCAATTAAGACGTCAGAAAAACAAGACCCTATAGTTAAAAAATGTTTGTATACAACATAAGTAATATTTGTTTCAATCAGATTAATTTAATTTTAAATTTGCTAATTTTCCTCAAATAACATTTCAGAAATAAATATTTTATTTTTGCAAGATTTTTAAAACTGAGAATTAACTTTTGTTTACAAATGTGACAAAAATGGCCATTTTGATCGATTTTAATGAAAAGAAATCGGTTCTGATCAATTTACCACAGAGTATTTTGCTTACTGGAAATAGTAAATTTTAAATCCTTTAGCTTTCAATTAAATCTAAAATGAAAGCTTTAAGAAAGATTTTTCCTTTTTTAAAATTCATTTTAACCCTTACACATACCAACTTAGCGGAGGTACCTAACTATATGCAATCAATGAAAAGAAAATCATTGCCAAAGAAGAAGGATATTATGCTGAAAAATAAATATTTTTTTGTGAGGCTGCACACTTCATGGCTTGTGTGTGTGTGTGTGTGTGTGTGTGTGTGTGTGTGTGTGTGTGTGTGTGCATGTGTGTGTGTGTGTGAGTGAGAGAGAGAGAGAGAGAGAGAGAGAGAGAGAGAGAGAGAGAGATACACACACATAATCCGAGCTGTAAATGATAAAGTTTAACAAGACAATTTATCAAGAGAAGCATCCACTCATTCCACGCTTTATTAACATGTGCTGGGAATTATAAACAAATTGAAGCATCGGACAATAATGTAAAAAAAACTTATTCCTAAAATTCCCTTACCTTTTCGCCTAATCTCGATTTTTCAATGTCATAGAGCGATCTTCTGTCTTCATTTTCCAAATCTATAGTTGGAGACGACATCTTGTATGATTTAAAGTAAACAATAATTATTATTACCATAGCAACCGCAGCTCCGAAACAAAAAAAATGCTACTGTAGAAAAATTTTAATAAAAAATTAGTACCCATTTTTAATATTCGCTTTAATTAATTATTTGCATTGTCGTATAGAACAGAATTAAATATACTAAACAATCCAATTTTGCTATCAGTAAATAATAATTCATGATTTTCTTAACACCGCGATGAAATCGAATCTACTTCCTCCAAGGGCGATAATTCTTGTTTCCGATATTGGAATAGATAGACGCAGTAAGTAAAATTGTCTGTTGTTTTCTTTTTTTTTTCTATATTGAACACGTTTTAGGCTAATAAGATACTGTATGTGCATTCATTTTGTCCTGATAATAATGTGGAAGTCGGATTTCCAAACTCTGGTGCCATTTGTAAAAGCCACTGAAAAAGACGAATGTTCTTTTTCGAAAGACGTTAATTCCAAAAATAAATCTCGGCAACTAGCGACCGTCTGTGAAAAACAAGGAATAAATATCAAGAATTTTTACGAAGATTTAGTAAATGCAGACGAATCAGTAGAACCATGGAGTGACAGTGTTAAAAAGAGGAATACGATGATGGGGGCAGAATCGTTCGCTTACGACAACAACACCAACAGCAGTCGGACATGTTTGAAAAGAAAGCTAGACTTACACTCTTCCAAAAAGCCTGTAGCTTCTTCTTCAACTGCAGATACGATGAACATAAACTCTGCAGTTCTTAAATATGGTAATGATTATAAAAACAAACAGAATTCTTTGAAAATGCCTTCAAATTGTAAACCTTTCATCTGCCGAAATACAGACAATATTGTTAAAAAAATTTCCCTTGATCATATTCAAAATGAAGTCCTTAGATGCGCTCAAGATGGAGACCTTCCTGGTTTAAAAAAACACCTGATGTCCGGTTCTGTCGATGTCAAAAACTGTACGGATTCTTTTGGCTGGACCCCACTTATGTGTGCCTCCTACGGTGGTCACATTGATGTGGTCAAGTTCCTGCTGTCTCTGGATGGATTGAATGACTGCTACCGAAATCACAAGGGACAGTCTGCTTTGGGATTGTCCGCTAAAGGTGGACATTGGCATATTAAAAAACTGCTAGAGAGTCGTCAAGTTCCTGATAGCTCATCACCAACATCACATAAAGTGGAAGAATCGCGAATAAAAATAAAATCTAGTTTACAAAAACAACCTTCCGAATATTTCTGTGACGTTTGTCAGATGCAAATAAAAAACACAACAAAGCATGCCCACGATTCTTCGACGGTACACCTTCTTAGCTGCCATCCTCAACCACTACCGGAATCATATTTTCTCTCTGAACAAAATCGAGGTTTTCAGATAATGCTTAGAAAAGGTTGGGATGAGAGCAAAGGGCTCGGACCGTCAGGAGAAGGCCGAAGGATCCCGATCAAAACCATTCTCAAGCATGACAGGAAAGGTTTCGGCGGAAAGTCTTCCAATGTGGCAAGGGTTAGCCATTTTGATGCCAGGGACCCTAAAGCTGTGCAGTATAAACAACCCCGGTTTAAGAAAGGTATAAACAAGAAAAAACTGGCTTCAATTCAGAAACGGGAGAAGATCAAAGAACGACACCTAAGGAGATGCTTAGACTTCAATTGAAAAAAAAAAAAAGAGAAGAGTTACAACAATTGAAATGGTGAAAGCATTTTTATTTTATTTTTTAATTCTGCATTACTCAGTAAAGTAGATCGCTGGTAAAAAAAAAGTTTGTAGATTAGCATTCTTTTGGCCCTAAGCCACGACATTTGTCAGATTCAAAAAATATTGATTTGTTATCATTTTATATATGGGGCTTCTCTTAAAAATAGCAATACAGTGTAAAACTGAACCCTGACTTTCACAGTGTTATTGGTATCTTAGCAATATGTCAAGTTTGAAACAGCTTATGTGATTGGATATATAGATTTTTATATAGGTACTTCCACAAAAACAAAAAAAAATGTTACCTAGGGTTTAAAATTAATTTTAAAAACTGAAAAATCTTTCTTCAAGCTTTTATTTTAGCTTTAATTTCAATTCAATAGATTAAATTTAATATTTCCAATAAACAAAATACTTTGCTGTATTTCAAAAACTAATTTAACTCTAGAACACTAAACATATTTATATAGTACCCAGCGCAAATGACGTCATTGTGCGTGCGTATGGTTCCCGCACTCTGAGGTGTCCCAGCTGCTTAGTAGTTTCAGTTGCCCACTTGACAGTGTAGGGGAAGGTTGTGCCGTCTCACTCTCTCTACTCCCCAGTGCTGTAGGCCTGCGTTTGGGTAAGGTATACCCATGGTTGGTGATACGCAGTGTTGTGCAAGGTGGGTATAGCCTACCCAAGATAGTGTTTACATACTATTTTAGTGATCAACGGTGGAATGAAAAACAGGATTATGAGGCTGTGTAAATAGTGATTGTGTGTTAGCTAAAAATTTTACCCTTTCAGATTACAGGCTTATTCAAAATGGCTTTGAGTAAGAAATCAATTACAGACAGTGAAATAGAGGCTATTTTATGTGAGAGTTCTGATGATGAAGTGGACACTTTAGAGTTTGAAGAATTATATGACAGTGACATTGATGCTGAATATGTGCAAGAACCTAGTGATAGCAGTTACAATAGTGACTTGGGGGATGTACCGCCAAGAAAGAATAAGAAAGTAGTACGTGTTAGCCCTGCATTGCCTGTGGTAGGCCCTTCTACTACACCTGTTGCTGGCCCTGCGGCTCCACCTGCTGTTGTCCCTGCTGCTCCCTGTGGATGATGACAACGCACTGTATCTCAAACAGATTGTGATGAGCTTGTATGCTTCAACACAGCTAGCATTAGATCTAGAAAAGACTTTATGTAGAGCACTAGGCCAAATGCAGGAGCAGTATGTACTCCTGCAAGAAAGATATTACATGATGTCCGGACTGGCCCCTCCCAACAAGCTTCCCAAATCGATATCCCAGAGAAGTGTTTCTCTTTGTTGTTTGTGGATGAAATCATCAATGAAATTGTGCAGTGGACGAACCAAAAAATAAACATTGATGCAGCAAAATGCAAGCATCAGAAGGCCACAATACAACCTACAACACCTGAGGAGATATGTGCCGTGTTTGGGGTCCTCATTTTTAGTGGCTACAGGAGAGACAACCACCTCTCCACGAAGGAAGTCTGGAGCCCTAAAGTTGGTTCCAATTTCTACAGGGCAGCTATGTCTCAGGGGCTCTTTACTTTTCTCCTCAACTGCCTACACTTTGATGACTAATATCAGAGAACAGCGAAGAGGAACTGACAGGTTTGCCCCAATCAGGAAAGTGTGGAATATTTTCATTGAGGCCTGTGGCACCTATTATATCCCACACAAGTTCCTGACTGTTGAGCAGTTGCTTGCTCTCCGAGGCTGCTGCCCCTTACACATGTACATCTCAAATAAATCAGAGAAATATGGCATCAAGATTATCATGGTAAATGATGTCAAGAGCAAGTATATGCTGTCAGGGATACCCTATCTTGGGAAGCAGGGGACACGGGCAACAGACAGATAAAACCTTGGCCACTCCTTCACCAAGGACCTGACACAGTGCTACCACAACTCCAACAGGAAAGTAACAACTGACCATTGGTTCACCTCTGTGCCTCTCATCCAGGATATGCTGCACAATTGTGGGATGATGCTGATTGGGACAGTCAGGGGACACAAGCCATAGATACCAGAAGAGATGAAGGACAAGACCACATGGACTCCAGGTTCCAGTGCCTTCTTGTTTCCGATGGACATGACACTGGTGTCGTAGGTGCCCAACACATCTTCCAACAAGAAAATTGTCCTCCTCATGTCTTCAGTGCATGGAGATAAGTCCTTGGCCAGCAGTGGAAAGCCAACCATCATCGAGGACTACAACAGGACGAAAGGTGGAGTGGACACTTTTGACCAAATGTCTGGTCAGTATTCATGTGACAGGAAGACCAAGAGGTGGCCGCTCTGTGTGTTCTGTGGCATGCTGAACACTGGGGTCATCAACTCCTGGATCATCCATGGGGGAAAATATGCAGAAGACAGGTGGCAGACAGAGGAAGCTGTTTATGCAGGTGTTGGCTGAGGAACTGGTGAAACCCTTGGCAGTGCATTGCCTCTCAAGTCACACTCTGCCAAGGCAGCTCAAGGATCATATATGCACTGCTTTTGAGCTGCCCACTCCTCCTGGACCTTGAAGAGTTTCTGCACTACCTGCAGCTGACATGATGGAGTCCATGATGCGCTGTGTTGTCTGTCTCACAAAGGCAGACAAAAAACATGCTTCCAGTGTGTGTCCTGTCAACGAGCTGTGTCCCAAACACTATTACACCATGTGTAGCAACTGTATATGAGGCTGAGGTAAGTAGAAATGCACCTGAAGACTTTATTTACTTGTATATAACAAATAAATAGTCAGTTGCTACAGTCATTTTAGTTAAAAAAATTATTAGTGTAAAAAAGTGATTTTTTGTGGTAGATAGAATAAGGCCTTTTTCCACGTCTTGTCCCTAGAGAAGCTGCAGCAGCTTGGGACCAGTACCCTCTTCAGCAGTGACTCACAGGACCTGGAAAGCCATATGAGGAGTTTGGAAATCATTGGAGGATAATTTTTATTTATTTTTTTTATTTAGAAAAAATTTTCCTATTTTTAAAAACAATTTTCATTACCTGATTTTCTTATCTAAATAATGTGTTTTTCAGTTCCTATTAATGTTAACTCAAAGTACAAAGCTTAAAGTGCCTGCATGTAAAATATTTCAAATAAAGATTGATATTTAATATTTTTTTTGATATTTTCAAAATTGGGTATGATTTACCCATGGTTAGTAGTGGTGTAACTTTAATTGATGCTTAGTGATCTAGGGTTAAATTGACTGGGAGGAGGTTTTTTTTTTTTAATTACTGATTAGCACCCATTTTTTTTAGCCATCTCTCATTGCAATATAATTCTCTTTATTCCAAAAATAAAATATATTTTTCTGAAATTTTATTTGAGGAATATTAGCTGATTTAAAGTTTAATTAATCTGATTATACAAATATTATTTAAAATATTGCAGAAATGCATTTTTTAATATGGCAATAGATGTTTATTTAAGGTCTTGACAGCTTGACTGACAGAAGCTTATCTAATTTTCTATGATGGACATATCTGTAAAAGTTTCTTGAATATAATGTACCTTTTTTATATATAATTTTTAACTATTCAGTAATATTAAAAATTTAGGAAAATATTATCTGTAATCTAATGTTTTATTGAATTTTAGATACTTTGGCATTAAATTTACTATAGTTATCACTCTTATTTTCTGATAATTTTATGTATAGCCATCTGTATTTAAAAAATTAGCACATTTATGCAAACACAAAAAAAAATTCAAAATTCTTTTGAAAATATTGAGGGTTGATGAATTGTAGTAAGCTTTTTCATTTATGACTAGTGAATATAGTTTTTACTTAATAACAATATCATCTAACTTGTACAAATTAATACAGAAATATAAGATTTAAAACTATAAATTATTCTAATTAAAATTAAAAAAAATGAAAACAATTCTTGTAATAATTCATTATTCATCAAAAAAAATTTTTCTTAAGACAATAGTATCCTTAATATATCTTATTAATAAAAGCAATTAAAAGCTTTTCTAATTAAATATTGTCTTTATTTTATTACATTTTTTATTTTACAATTCAGAGCACATTTTTGGTAACTGGGGTTCCTGTATTACAAAAAAAATTGAAGGTTTACATTCTTCAAGTAGTTTTGTGTATAACTAATATAAGTGGCAAAAAAAATGATTTCTTGAAAATTTTATGGGGTGGGGTTAACAGACGTAAAAAAAAATTTTTTTTCCAAGGTTTTCTAAAAAAGGAAACATTTCCTAAATAATTTCATTTGTAAATAAGTCTTCAAAGTTTCATTAAAATCTGACAGTTATTTGATTTTTGCAAGAATTTCCAAGTCAGTGTGCTTTTCTAAGAAAATATTTTAAACAAGCAATTGTTTTGTGAAATAATTTTTTTTTTGTCATTAAAGCATAAACAAATGTATACAATTTTAAAGTAATAGCACATTTTTAATTAAATAACAAAAAATTAAATAAATTAATGAAAGTTAAAAAAAAAATATTCAGATAATAACATAAGCACATTTTAAGGCTCAACATTTGTAAATAACACTGAGTTTTTTGTGGGTTTTTTATCAGTATAACCCCAAGTAAGGTAGTAAAGCCACTAAGACACAAAGGGTTACAGGGTGTGGCAGAATTAGGAACAGAAACATTAATAATGCATGGGAAGAGGAAAGAGAAATCAGGACAGTAGAAAAGTGCAGATAACTCTGTAAAAGTCTGGAATGGATTTGTCACATCACTATATCAATATATCAGGATCCCACTTCTAAATCATTAAAAAAAAAAAATCAGTATTTATCAATTCTGACAAATGTGGCAATTTAAGTAGTGCCTTAAATTTTTATTTATTTTATTTTATTTTTTTTTTTCAATTTTCAGTAAAATTCAACTTTACTCATATAGGAGATAGTGCTGAAAAGTTCCCAAAATCTCCACAAATATTGTAGGGGGAATCCCAAGTTGACTGGAGCAAAAACTTATTAGCACTCCCTTGTAGAACCTATTTTCATTCAAATCCAAATTAGCTAGATTTTTCAACATCAAATTCCTCAAGCCTGCTTCTGATCTCCATGTCTAGACTTGATGAGAACTTTTCTTGAAAATTGTTCTTCACCCAATCCTACAGCTGAGCCACTGTGTAAAAATAATAGTTCATTTTAATGCTGCTACAATTTTTGCATAGCAAACATTGAATTATATGCAATATTTATCTCAACTATATTTTCCATAAAAACTGGAATACAATTTAATCTCTATGAAATATATATATATATTTATATATATATATATATATATATAATTTATTTCAATTTTGAATTCAGGCAAAAAAAAGCAGCAAAATACATAGCTATATTTATTCTAGAATTGCTTCCTCCACATTATCTTTGTTGACATTCTCTCGATATCTTCAGGTGATATTTTTCTTCAGCACTCTATCTGATCTGTGGCACACTGAACACAAGATGTCAGTTTTCATTTTCATCCATATTGTGATTGAAATTTGTTCTCTTTAGTCACATACATCTTATTTACACTATTTATATTTGGACTATTGTCCTCATCACCATGCTTTGACCATTGTGCCTACCAGCCTCCCTCGGTTCTATATTGATCTAGGTAACCTACAGGGAATTCCAAACTGAACCCATTATTTAATCTATGGCAGTAGACTGTTCTTGTTCCAATGCTCATATCTAGGGGTATTGTCTAGCTCTGATTCTATTTAGCACTGCTCAATTATTGCTCACCCATTTCCACTGAGTCTAAGTACAAACTTCCTGACCCAGAGATTGAACTCACAATCAGGACCAATAGTATTGCTTATTCTTCTCTTGATTTTATCAAGACAGCCAGATAACCTGACCACATATCTCAGTAATATTCAAAGCATGCATGAATGGTAGACTTATACTGATTTATTCAAACTGTTACCCTCATCTGAGTTGTTACCATTGTAGTAGTTTCAGCCATTAAAACCCTCTGGGGCCTCCTTCAGGCACCTTTTGGTTGAGTTCTCATAATTTCAAACAAAACTCTTTATTCAATCCATAGGGATAGACTGTTCTCGTTCCACGGTCCTTGTCTTTTATTAATTTCATTCCTGCTTATTAAGCTGAACCAGAGTCTCTAACTGCCACTGCCTGATTACTAATACTTACATCCACTAACCCATTCTCCTGTATGCAACAGAGACTTTGATTAAGTGTTGCAGTTTGTTGCACATCACTCCAATCCCTGGATTCTTTGGAACAAGAAGGGTCATCACAAAGATATCGTCTATCTTGGAATATAGACTATGGAATAAGAATGGTAGATTGGATAAAGGGTTTTGGTTAGTAGTTTTAAGGCAATGGCTCACATGGTACAACAGCCAAAATATATAACAACCATGACCACATCACATTGAAACATCAGTTCTCATATGAACACCCAAGTAATGTTTAGCCTGGTCAGTACCTGGACTGGTGACCACTTGGGAATACCCAGTGCTGTAAGCTTGGATGTGTGTGTGGTGATAGCTGAATTCCAATTTTAGTTGGCTTTGTTACATGCAAATACGTGTGCAAAAGGTATGAATCCACTTCTTTTCGCCCCATCTATAGGTTAATTAATAAAACTTGTATCACTAAACCATTATTATCTCCTAAAAATAAAATTCTTACAATCCTTTTTTCAATATTTTCTGGCTTTAAATAACCTGCAAAAGGGTTGATAAGCTGTAGAAAAGGAATGAATCAATCAATGAAATAAACAACCAAGATGAGGACATCAGTTTGAATAATAATAATGATAATTCCTTAAGAATTTAGATGTTATTTTGGGTGATTCGACACTGAGGTATTTGCTTAGTTTAACTTACTTGTGCTTAAACCCAGTAAAGAGCAAATGAAGAAGATTGTATTGGAGAGGGGTTGTCTCTCTTGGCCTGCCTTGAAAATCAGCTTTTGAAACCTTTATATTTACTTGCATGTAACCAATTCTTGTTGGTATTGATGAAAAAGGTGTGTGTAAAACCATAAAAATTAATGAAATATATAAAAGTTGGTTGCATGTGTGCAAATATTATGTAAAACTGTGACATCAAAGATTTATATCTCACAGCATATATCTTATATCATGTTCCACTTAGTACTTGCTTTATAGACACAACTAATTTGCATATTTATTTGTGTGACTAAAATGTAAAAAGTAACTGTTTTATTTACACAACATTATTTAGACTGTTGTCCTCATCTTTATTGTCATATCTACAATGCTTTGGCCATTGTATCTTTCAGCCTTCTTCAGATGATATACATTGTAATTTTAAACCAAACCTTTTATTTAGTCCACAAGAGTAGATTGTTCTAGTTCCATATGCCATGTCTTTTTGGATGTTTCAATTCCAGTTAATTCCCTTTCATAACTCAACTCATCAAGTTTTTGTTCATCTCTCCTTTGGCCAGGTATTGAACTCTCAACTCATTGGATCAAGTCACTTTTGGATTATTTTTATCCACTGGTCTATGTGTCCAGTTGGAAATTCTAACATATATCATCTGAAGAAGGCCAGAGTGTACAACAGCCAAAACATTGTGCATATGACAATAAAGATGAGGACAAGTCTGAACAACATAAATAGTGTAAATAGTTACAATACCTCATCTCAAAAATATAGACAGTAACTGTTTTGTTATTCATTTCTAATTTGATCTTTTGTAATCTTTGTAAATAAGTGATTGTTTTGTTAATGTCTGTTATGATAAAATTGCTTAGTTATTCAAATATAGACTTTTTTATTTTTAAATTATTTTTTCTGATGAAAAGTGATACCTCCTTTTAAATCAGTGGTTCTCTCATGGACCCAAGAAATATTTGAAATGGGCCTGGAGACACGAAGAGCAGTGTAGTCATTAGTCAGGATTTATATTTTCTACCCGCATTTTGCTTTCGTAAATAAAATGTATTCCCTGTTACATAAATTTCTATTTGTGCTTATGTAGGCTTCAAATCTTTTTGACACCAAAAATAGGCCACAAGGAAAAAAAAAAGTTGAGAAACTCTGACATAGATCACATGTTCACATTTTTAATAATATATTTTTCAAATAAAACAAATGACTACCAAAATTTGAAACAGTATTGAAATGTTTGATTTACAAGAATTCTGCTAATATGATTTTATGTTAGATTATCTCAAAAAAAAAAAAAATTAAGCTGCAAATGAAAGGGACTTGTCCTGCTGCCTGCCCAATGCTGGGTATCACTGCTAGTAAAATAAATGTTTTTTATGTGTATCATTAACCTTTGACATTTAAATGCATTACTAGCAAGAAATATCCATGGTTTTCTTTTTACTTGAATAAAAGATCTTAGGGTGATATGAAAATTTATCTTGTACTTTTTAAGACCCACCTTGACTTGAGGCATGTAATTGTTTTCTTTTTTAAGGTCAACTGTTGACCATTGGATCAGGTATGGCTGCCCAACTGTCTACTGCCAATTTGATCAGTGACCTCACAGAGATTGAAGAAACAGCCGAGAAGATACTTACTGACAAACAGCAGATTGTTGATTTGGACAAAAAGCGACAACAAACAAGAGAAGCAATAAGGTAAAGAATGAAAATAAATCAATCTTGATTTAATTCTTTGAACAAAATGATTTCTGATGACTTTAAAGAAAAGAATATAAAATCAGAAGGTAATGAAATTGTATACACATTGTAGAGTTATCTTTTCTTTCTTCCCTCACCCACCCCCCATTTGATGTTTCATTTGACCCATTCTCTAACCTTCTCCAGGTAGATGTGTTTCACGCAGTCTTATTCTGTTTCTAATTAATGGCCTCTTTTAGCCACCCCATTCTTAAATCATCCTCGGGTAAATGTGTTTAATACAGACTATTTGACACTTACCTTTTTATTTCTTTTTTTTCTTTTCTTTTTTAACTATCCATATCCATTATAAAATTTAGACCCACATTTTTTTCTAAAAAAAATCTAAATTCCTTTTTTCTTTCTTTTTCTTTATTGTTGTCAAATATTTATTTTAGGGTGCTGAACAAAGACAAAGTAAACAACAAATGCTGGGTATGTATTGGAAACATGTTTTTGAAATTGCCCAAAAAGTCTACCAAGAATCTCTTGGAAAATGGTAAGTCTCTTACCTTTTTATCTTTTATCCAACATATGAAAATTTTAAGAAAAATGAAAAACTCATGATTCTTTAGAAAGTTAAATGCAAATTAATATTTATTCAACTGGTTGTTTTCTCATTGTGTTCATACTTTAATCTCTCTTCCATCCCAATTTTTGCTGCTTATGCAGGAGAATTGGATTTCTCTTTGGCTTTTGCTGATCATCCAAGATTGATTCTTCAGTATCTATCAAATGAGAAAGCTATGTTGCCCCATACAACATATTTCCATTAAAGAATTGATGACAATATTAACCTTCGTGTTTTGCTAAAAAAAACCTGCATATCAAAAGGATGTTTATTCTCTTGATTCCACTATTACTATACACACTTTTGATTCTCATGGCAATGTTTATTTACAAGGTTATAAAAATAGGTGAACCAAGTATAATGCAATATTTATTTACCTTTTAACATGAAATAAATTTGAAAAATCTTTTTTTTGTTTTTTTGAAATATAAAAAAAAATTTACAAAATTTTCAAAATTATATACGAGAAAGAGATGTTCTCAACCTATTTTAGTTAAAAAAAATCCCTAGAAAATGCATTTTTTTTTATTTGTTTGTTTTTTTTTTTTCAAAATTTGTAATTACAGATGATGGTCATTGTTTATTTAAATTTTGTTGTTCAAAATTTTTATGAATAAAAAAAATATTTTCATATTTATTTCTTTTAAATAATAAATATTTAATTACAATTGGTTCACTTATTTTCATACTCTTGTAAATATAAAATTATTTTTATAAATAAGAAATCTAACAAATAAATAGTGTTATAAATATTTTTGTTGCCAATTCTCAAGAATGAAGAATGTATAAATCCAATTTCATATGTTTGGGGTTTATTAAAATCATTTTTTAAACCCATAAACATTGCTGAGGGAGTCAAAAGTGTATACAGTAATAGCGGTGTCAAGGGAATAACTGGCCTTTTGACACCAATTTTTTGCGGTCGTAAATGTCAAATATTACCGCATTGAAACACGTTAAGGAAGATAACTGTGACATTAATGTGTTACAGTTATCTCCCTTGAGGTTTAATTTACAAAGTGATTCCTTTTGATTATTTTTTTTTAATATTTCTATTCTTTTATCCTTACTCTCCTCAACCTCCTCATATTTGTTGCTCTAAGTAACCTTTTACCATTTACCATCACTTCTTTCCCCTGTTCTGTTATTCATTCAAATAAACTCTTCAAGTAGGTTACTTGCTGCTTTCCCCCTTGCTTTTCTTGCCTTCAGTATATCCTCTAAGTGTTAGATTCTCCAGACCTTCTTTCTTCATTATATATCACAGAAATTCCAGTTGTTTCTTTCTGATTGTATTTATCAGGTTTCTTGTAGTTCTTCTTTTCCCTGTTGCTCATCATATTCTGGTCATTTGTTGATAGAACCACATCTTTGTTATTTCAAGTCTCTATTCCATTTGTGAAGAGATTATCCATCTTTTACTGCTGTATAAAAAATTAAACATTATGACACTCTTTATTTCTAAGCACTTTTTTCTTCATCTTAATATTTGGTTGAGTTTCTGAAATAAATTTTTAACAGCAACTTTCAATTTCTCTCTTACATGTTCCATCATTAGTGTTGTTCGTGCACTAATATATTTATAGACTTTGAATTATGCATGCAGGCAAAATTATTTTTCTTTGCTTCTAAATCTGTTTTCATTATCTTGAATAACTATTCATGTTGCAAAATTTACTGAAGCTAATAATGAAGGGTTATTTTTTTTGTTGTTGTTTTTTTTTACTTCTTGCTTTTCTCTTTCAGATTTTAACCAACTTGACCGGGAAATCAACAGTATCCGAAATGACCTGAAACCAAAGATGAACAAATTACGAGATCTTGAAAACAAAGATGATTTGAAAGGGTTTAACCTGGAGCCCTTGACCAAAGATGAAATCCGAGCCATTGAAAATCTATTGTGATTTTTTTCTTTGTTTTGTAATAAAATTTCTATTTTATACAAATTTTTTGAATTCTTTCATTGTTCTGCAATTTTATGTTTGTAACTGTTTTTAGCATTTATGGAAAGTTGCCAAGTCCACAATTAAAATGATGCAGATTTGCAAGCACAGTACTTTATTGATATAACATATCACACCTTGTCTTGCAGTCTAAAATAAAAACTGAAGAACTGAAACTGTAGTTATAATTTTAAGTTGTGGGTGCATTGTAATTTATACTGGAAGCAAACCCCATCTTATACAGAAAATGAATTGAGTAGGACAACAAAAATAGAAAGGGGTGTAAGACAATGCTGTCTTCTCACTAGATTTATTCAACCTATATCTCATTGACATAGTATTCCATATACTTGAAGACAGTATTTTACAGGAAGAAGGGCCCAAGATGTGAGCTTGGAATTGGAGATGTCAGAATTACACGAGCACGGGTATTCTGTGACAAAACTTGTGACAACGTTCTCCTGTCATCCATTGTTCACTGCACCTGTGGTGACATACAAGATCAGCTATATCTTCATGTACACCCAAATTTGGTATGCTCACAGATTTGTCCACTTAGCTGTGATCAAATTCAGCAGAGAATAATGACAATTGATTTTCAAGACTCTCTTGGGGAATAGCAACAGTACGAATTCTCACTACTTAGCCGTCTGTTTTCTTTGGCCGAACTGCTATCTTCTTAACTGCTTGCTGGTCTTTTCCAACTCTCTGACTGCCAGTCCCTACCTCAAGTGCCACTGGTCATTTACTGACTGCTGGACCCCTTTCTCCTTGACTTCCTGCCTCTCTCTCTCTCTCTGCTTCTATGGATGATAGTGAGGTCCCATCCCACTATTCATCCATTTGTGTTCCGGAACATTTGAGACCATCCATTCAGCTTTTTGGGTGGTCAACTTCACCAAAAGATTCTACTTTTATGATTATCTAAAACCATTAACATTTTATGTTTCCCAATTCAAAGGCAGCTGTAGACATAAAACACTGATACTTCAGTTTACTCAAAGATTGACTGGAGATGAAATGCCTATGAAACTTAGATAACTAAGTAGACTTAAAAGAAATTTATCTAATTTATAAAGATTTGTGAGAAATCATATTGTTACAATTCAGCTGGAAAGCACTATCAAAGAGCAATAGCAGATGAGCAAGCAGCTGAGAAACAAGAGGATGAGTGCGATTTAACTTTATATTTTCTTGCAGGGATGAAAGCCTCAATTTCAGCTTTTACCCAGGAGGAGACCTCAGAAGCTCATTTTTGAACAGGAAGTTTAAAGACCATATTCCAGGGGACATTGTGAAGGAAATCACGGAACGAGTCCCAGTCTGCTCATTGATAACAGAAAGATGTTCTGTTGGTAGGAGGTTCTTTGCTGGTGGAGGATTAGAAGGACTACAGCATGATCAGAGTTGTCAAGAGGGCAGAGCTGGGTGGCACGACAAGACTTGGGGATGGAGGTGAAACAGATTGAGAAGGGAAGCCTTACCATCCTGGTTATTGGGGAAACGTGTAGGAAAGTTAACCATTTGTGTGAGGGATTTATCGGAAAAGATTTAGGAGACCTGCGGTCCATACAACATCAGGACAATATTCAGAAGCAGTTACACACTACAGATAAATTTCTAACGATTGAAGCCTAATTATATTCCTGTTAGAAAAATCAAATTCTTTATTTTACAAAATGGTCCCTAAAAACTAATCAATATTGAATTGAGAAATCTTTGTTTAAATAATACTCTCTCTGACTCATAACAGCCATTATATTTAGTACATGGAATTTATCATTAATCTTAGATGATCTTTACATCAAAAGAAAGCAACCCAATATCAATAAAATTTGTTTTAATCTTGCTGCTCGTGTTAAAATGACTTTGAATTGCAAGGTCTTTTTGACCACTTGATGCTAAAATCTATTTTCTAGTCATAGCGTGTGAATCATTTCCAACTTTGGACAGCTAACAGCATAGAATGTTCATTTTTTTTATTTTTTACTTTCTTCCTTTGAAAAGTTTTCAATGTTTCATATCATCTTCATGTTTTGGTGATGATGTAAATGAACACTGAAGTATTAAGAATTTTACCCCAAACTCATAAATAAAACATTACCTTCAGTAATGCTTCTTTCCTATCTTAGACAAATGAAGGCAATTATTGTGGACATTTTGTAACTGGATCATTTTGATAATTTTAAATAAACAATATAAAAATTAGATGGGAAGATGTAACGGTTATCAGCGTGGAAAATGAAATTGGTTATTTTTTTATTCAGTCGAGCTAGCTCAGACATTCATGAATCACGCCAACCATCACTGTCTAGTATCAAGGTCGGAAGGTCATTAGGGCGGTATTCAGTGTCATAACATAGCTGGTCAACGTAGGTGATTGCCGGGCGACCAACACGTCTTGCTATATGACAAGTTTTGATAAAATAGCACATGACCTAAATTCTTCAAACTTCAGGTTGTGTAATCCACTCCATGCAGACTTTATTTACTTGAAGGTGTTCCTAAGTATCAAGATGTGACTCCTATGAAACCTTGGCTGACTCATACTTCAAATTTAGAAACAACACAGCCTTCTAGACACCCGGTTTGATTATTCCCAACTAGTGTTCACACATAAATACATACATACACGCACACATATATATGGTCCGGCTTTGACCGCTCGGCTACGAAGAGCTTCCCATCAAGCAAAGTTTTATTTGTTTCACTCGCTCAGATTTTCTTGAAAAGTATATCTGCCCAGTTTCGTATCCGAAACGTAAAGTAAGCAAATTCTAAAGTATTAATTTCATTGTCTTTTATGTTGAATTAAAAAAATAAAAAAAATATAACGTGTTAAAAATAAAATTGATTAATTCTTTAGAAATTACTGTGTTAAAAACTGAGCAGATATGCCTTTCGAGAAAATCTGAACGAGTAGGTTTGCTTAAAGGCAAATACAACCTTGCTAGATCTCACTTTGTCTGTCTGTCTGTCTGTCTCTCTCTCTCTCTATATATATATATATATATATATATATATATTTGTATGTGTGTCACCTCATCTTAGATAGTTTTGTGTTTTAAGCACATTTTCTTTTACTTTTTCAAAGACATTAATTTACACTTTTTGTTCGACAGTAAATATATATATATATATATATATATATATATATAGAGAGAGAGAGAGGGGGGAGACAAAAGTTAGCCGCAGACTTGTCTAAAAATATGTCATGCCAAAAGTGCGGATAATTTTATATATATATATATATATATATATATATATACAACCACATTTTTGTTCAAGGATATAGATAAATTAGGCAATAATATTTCACACTTCATACTACTTCAAAATGGACATATACGAACAGACGTTTTTTTTCGCCTTCTTCTACCCTATCAGGTTCAATAAACCTCATAAAAACAATGGTAGTTACAGGCGAGTAACTATTTTGGAAGATGTGGGTCAATACAGAAAACAAAATGAAAAGACTTAGATAGATAGAGAGAGAGAGAGAGATGAACAGACACACACACATACACACACACACACACACACAGAAACAGACTGTCGCATCTAAGTGTTGTCTTCTATGTTCACTTTTATATTTACATACGCTCTCTGATATTGAGCACTTTATCCCATAAATATAGCACATCTTAAGACTATATTTCTTCATATATATATATATATATATATATATATATATATATATACTGTATAATCGTACAATGCAAATTTCAGATATTAAATCTTTTACATTGCTTAATACTCTGTATTATTCAAGTGGAATATTCTAGAATCTTCCAATAATGCTATCAGTAGTTATTTTTAGTCTAAAAATATAAACAGAACATTCTGTAATTGATATTCGTACAAGAAGGTTATTATTATGCCAAAATGTAAAGAATTGACAAATTCGCAAAGAGAACTGATTGTTAAGCTCTGGAAAGAAGGTAAAAAAGTTACTGGAAAATCTCAGACAAACTGAATATTCCATTTACTACCATTTGTTCATTCATTGCAAGGTATTAAAACTCAAATCTGTTGAAAACCAAGCAAGAACAGGGTCTCCACGGAAGATTTCTTCAAGATCTTCGAAGAAATTAATGCGTCAAATTAACAAAATTCAATGGTTACTCGTCAAGAGTTGCAGGATGATTTGCTTTCATCAGGAATCTGTGTCACTAAACGGAAATAAGAAACGCAATTCATAAGAACAATCTAAAGTCACTCTCCCCTCGGAAAATTCAGCTGTTGAAAATATACAGAGATGCCAGATTGAAATTCGTTCGTGAAAAATCGTATTGGGAAAGTGTATTATGGACAGACAAAACCAAAATTGAGTTGTTTGGACGTAATTCTAGGAATCATGTATAGAGGAAAGATGGTGGTTCCTTCAAACAAAAGAACATAGTCATAACAGTGAAATTTGGTAGCGGCAGCATTATGGTTTGGGGATGTCTTTTCTTCAAAAGGTATTGGCAACATATCAGTAATAGATAGTAGAATGAATATCGCAACATTTCAAAATATTTTGGAAGCAAATTTAATGATTTCGGTTGAAAATGTTGAACTTTCTCCTGACTGGATCTTCCAACAAGGTAATGATCCGAAGAACACTGCAAAATCTACTAAGAAATGGCTTGCTGAAAATAATGTAAATATCCTGAAATGGCCAAGTCAGTCCCTAGATTTAAACTCAATCCATAATCTGTGGCGTTATTTGCAAATTCAAATCCAGTATAGAGTTCCAACAAACATCGCAGATCTGAAGACCATATGCAAAGAAGAATGGAACAAAATACCAAAGTTTGCAAATCATTAATTGAGAACTAAAAGAAAAGTTGGTTGCCGTAGGAGTGAATAATGGCTATTCTACAAAGTATTAAATGAAGATTATGTATTTATTTATACAAATACTTTACCCATTAAAATGGATAAATGAGATTTATTTCTATTATATCACATTTTTT